CCCACCCCCTATATCATATCTTGAAACCAACTCCTGACGACCACTGGTGCCCGAGCTATGAATTCCGCGACACTTGCGTTCTAGCGCCTTTTATCAGCCCTTATCAGTTGTGATCACTTTCTTTACCCCACCAAATATGTTCTCGTCCCACCCCCTATATCATATCTTGAAACCAACTCCTGACGACCACTGGTGCCCGAGCTATGAATTCCGCGACACTTGCGTTCTAGCGCCTTTTATCAGCCCTTATCAGTTGTGATCACTTTCTTTACCCCACCAAATATGTTCCCGTCCCACCCCCTATATCATATCTTGAAACCAACTCCTGACGACCACTGGTGCCCGAGCTATGAATTTCGCGACACTTTGCGTTCTAGCGCCTTTTATCAGCCCTTATCAGTTGTGATCACTTTCTTTACCCCACCAAATATGTTCCCGTCCCACCCCCTATATCATATCTGAAACCAACTCCTGACGACCACTGGTGCCCGAGCTATGAATTTCGCGACACTTGCGTTCTAGCGCCTTTTATCAGCCCTTATCAGTTGTGATCACTTTCTTTACCCCACCAAATATGTTCCCGTCCCACCCCCTATATCATATCTTGAAACCAACTCCTGACGACCACTGGTGCCCGAGCTATGAATTTCGCGACACTTGCGTTCTAGCGCCTTTTATCAGCCCTTATCAGTTGTGATCACTTTCTTTACCCCACCAAATATGTTCCCGTCCCACCCCCTATATCATATCTTGAAACCAACTCCTGACGACCACTGGTGCCCGAGCTATGAATTTCGCGACACTTGCGTTCTAGCGCCTTTTATCAGCCCTTATCAGTTGTGATCACTTTCTTTACCCCACCAAATATGTTCCCGTCCCACCCCCTATATCATATCTTGAAACCAACTCCTGACGACCACTGGTGCCCGAGCTATGAATTTCCGGTCAGACAGACAAACACATACACACACACACACACACACACACAACCGCTTAGCCGATTATATATAGTAGGATCTGCTGCTAGGGGGAAGCGAGAGAAGTGTCAACTATACGAAATCCCATGGCGTATGAATCGCTATGTGAAGAAATGGTTTACTTTGGCGCTTGTCGACCAGATGACATAAAATCCTGTTGGCACAGGGCGACCGCTAGGAGTACTGAAAGCAGGCTATTTTTTGTCAATTTGAAGTGAGCAGAAGTCTTCGCCGTACGAAACTTCGTGTAGAGGGATGGAAAGCGCAGTATATCTCCCACAGAAAACAACCTCTGGCGGAAGCTCCGATAGAGTAGGCAGGCAAGATGCGAAGAGCAGGATGCACCGAATGCACTTTGGGAATCACGCTACATAAAGCTTCAGAGCGCACAATGCATGGAACTCATATTTCTGTGCCAACAAGAACGAAAAGGACAAAATTAAACAACGAAATATAGAAGAAAGGTGAACTACACATTACGACGGCTAGGTGCTGCTACTTGCGAGTTGCTGCACCTAATCGTCGCAACTGTTTGTCCTACGACAAGCAAGGTCCACTCCTTACTTCCAGGGTGAAAATCGTGTCGAGTACGTGGTCGCAGAGGTACGACCCCCCCCCCGAAATCGAGATCCTGGCACGACCCCCTCTAACAGAGCAAATTAATTCAATTAAAATAAATCCTGCAAAACAAATCAAAAAAAAAATTCTGCAAAATAATGCTAAGGACGCTTCATCTTGTCATCTATGCACGTCTTCCATCGCTGCATACTTTTGTGTACATACTGAAATATCGACTCGAGGAAAGAGGCATTAACTTTGTGTGACCTCAAGGCGAGGTTCGTTCAGAAACGCACAGAAATCCTGAAGACACGGGGTTGCGATTCAATCTTGATTCTTGCTTGAGTATATCAAAACAGCCGAGTGTATCAAAGGCCGATTCAACGGCAGCTGCGGCGCGATTGTCACTGGGTCAGATTTGCCGAAATTTCAAAAAAAACGTCCGAATCTACACCCTCGATGAAAAGGTTGCATTCCTCCATTTCACAACCTTTGAAGCAGCTTGAGGTAGAGTTAGATAGAGCTGGATTTCGCGTTTCCAACAAGCATCGAAATTGCTCTGGAAGCCTTCCTTGCAGAAAGATAGGGTCTGTCAAATTTCGTCGAGTAAATGTCGAGGAGGCCCAAATTTTCACGCGAGTTTTTGCCACTTCAAGAGCAATATATCTCTTATATTGTAAGATCCTGAAAAAGGGAAGATAGTTTTGGAAAGCGGAAGGTTTGCGCTTCCTGATGGTCTGTTTAGTTTTCTTCTACAGCTTTTTGGTTGAAGAGATAATTGCGTCGAGGATCTATCGAGGTCGGATCCGGCCACCTGGAAATCCGCTCCCTCATTCACCATTGCAAGTGTGACTCGTTGGCAACACTCGGAATGTGTCTAGAACAATATCTTTGAACGCAAACAATAAGAATAGGAGCAATCGTCATCATCCGATTTGGTATTGGTATAAGCCATGCATCCCTCCTCCACTCACAGTTGCAGAATCGATTGAAAGGTGTTATATGATGGGGACCTTCGAACGAAACTGTATTGTAGTAGACATAGTGTGTTGTGCTATCCTGTAACCTAAAAAACAACTTCATTTGCCCAGCGCTTTTTCTTCACGGTTGTCGTTTTTCCGACAGGGTCCCTAACAACAGCGTCATTCTCAGCGAGGTATTAAGGGAGAAGGAGCGAGTGATAGGCGGAGGAGGTGCCTTTGCAGCGCGTGCGCACATGTGGCACTCTTCTTTGCGGGGATGCACTTTCATTCTTTGTACTGCCTTCAAATACGCCCTTCTCATGAAGGTGGAGGAATGGAGCGACTGAACCTGCAAAGAAAATTTAATATCATGTTTTTTTCGGATGTTTTCATTTTCTGCTGCGCTATACCCTATTACCTATCTGCACCATGATACCACTTCTGTTACTGACCCCCAAGAGTACGACCCCCCATGGACCAGCCCAACAGGTACGACCCCCCTGTCGAGGATTTCCTCGACCGATATTCACCCTGCCCTCCTCTGAATAGGCATGCGAAACCTGAAGAAGTAAAGGCAAGAGGTGTTAAGACTGCGAAAAACACTTAAGATCACATGGGATACTCTCAGGGGAGCAATCTACTTGGTCTTATTAATTTCCTTTTTAAAGGGGTGCAACAATCTTGGCCGCTGATTGTTTTGTGAAAACGCGACATACATGACCGCACCTTTAGGCATGCTTTCCGCTTGACATAATTTTCAAACTTACCATTTACGTGCGAGTTCGTGGATTCCCTCTCACATCCTTCACGTTAGTGGTGCGATATTTATCATGTAGTTTCCAGAAATTATTATGAATGGTAACAGGTGTTTTTCTGTGAGTCCAAATTATGGCTCCGCCCTCGCGATGTGAAAAACGTCACAGAAATCAGTCACATCCTCCTCCATGTGGCTCCGTGGTACATCACCTGCACCGCTCGATCTGCAGTGACTCAGTAATGAAAGATGATAGGCATACGCTCTTCTTCGACGTAACTAATTATGTACGATACCGACGTTCACTCCAGCATAATCGGAACTTACGAAAAATGATCTTCTCGATTACTTAATTCTGATTGGCATAATATCAATCTTAAAGGCAGCGGTTACGCTAGGTTTGAATGGGGTTTAGAGGGGACGAGGGGGTCCTCAATGGTACGTCAGTGGCGAAAGAAGCAGCGAAATCGGTCCAGGAAACGAGAAATGGGACCCCCTTTTGGGCCGTTTATTGCGGCTCTCAGATGGACTGCGGCGAAGACCGCGCACGCGTGGACGAGATTGCGCAACGCGTGCTGGGCAGCAAACAGCAGGCATGGCGCCCTAACCGCGCTGCGGCTGGCAACACGGCTCGCCCAAGCCACCGATGAATCATGGGGCGGAAGGGCGCAATGGTCCTGCTCAGCAACCACAGCACTGTTCGCAGTGCAAGCGCCACACATCGCTTCCTTGGCGGCCTGCTAGTTGCTCTGTGGGGAGCAGGTTCTCCGCAGATGTGAAAATTCCTTTTCGTACCCACTTCCTTTAAAGGAGGATCTCACAATAAGAACAAAGGTTTGAGAGGAGGAAAACTGCATAAACGAGGGACAGTCGGATCTCCTGAGGGTACTGACCGACGCGCAAGCGCCAGCGAAGTTTGACTCGGCCGACCTCAGCTGGCTCACTCTTAGCGCGGTTGCGGGTACGGCCACCGAGCTATGTATCTAATCACTCGCCGCAAGGTCTTACGTGAAGCGA